AATATAGACATTTTAGAAAAGGAATGGTTGCTGCCAACTCATGTGGCAACTTTCTGGCAAAGATTTTCTGTACGTCTAGCACTACACATTCAACAATTGGGGACGAGGCATGTTTTGCTAGAGTTAACAAACATTTTTGTTTCGGTTTACACAAGTCTTTTTCTATTTTTTTAATTAAAAATGACTTAATTTTGAATTTGCAAGTAACTATTAGTCACTTTAAATATAAGAATATATTTTGCATGCATCGATTTAAAAAAAACAGATACAAAGATTTTCATTTTTTTAATTAATTAATTAATTTATTTATTTTTTGAGAGTTGCTACATTGGCAAACAAGACTTGTTCTTTTTTTTTTAATCAATGAGAGGATATCTCATGATGATCAAGACAGAGATTGCATATTTCAACCAGTAGTGTTGCAACCATTGCATCTTAATATAATATAGTGTCAATATCTTATTCTACGATCATGGACAATTAATTTTTCGATCAATATAAAAAATAGCCATATCTTGTATCATCGATCGAAGGCCTTAATACATTGTTCAAAATATAAAGCAACTCATTTTCATATATCATTTATCTTATTATTATAATAAAATTCTAATGATTTTCTACATATGTCCCTACATTTATTTCTTTCGCAGTCTACTATTATTAATTATCATAAAAACTAATCCACATTAATATCACTTGCCATTTTTTAAAAAGAGATGGAGAATATTAAAAGCACATAGAACCAATTTTCTAGTTTCCTACCTTTGAAAACTGTATTATGGAAAAATGTATTCTAGAATAGTAGATTGATGGAGAATGTGTGGTTGGAAAAAAGGAAAATCTATTGGTGTGATGGAAAATATCATTTTATTAAAGAATGTGTGGTTGAAAATGAGTAAAAGAATGAAACTGAAAATTTTAATGTGTACCAAACCGGGGCTAAGACAAGTGATAATGTTGAATGACTAATTATTCTAATCTGGAAGTCTTTTATTTGCTCTAAAAAAGTGTATTATGTTGTAACTCTCATTAAAACTATATACATAATAAATTTACACTGAATCTCTAATTCTCTTCTAATTGTTTTTTCTACTCTCTTATTTTTGTTCTTTTTCCTTCGACTTTAGAATACGATTAAGAAATTTCATTTGATCGAGTACATGAAACATACCATCAATTCGTTGTGCAATTCTTTGTTGGATGAAAAATAAAATCCAAAATATTATCGAAGAAAGTCAAGTCGGTGATCACTTTGTGAAGAAGAGCATCTAGATAATGAGTCTTGCATCCATTATTGAAAAGTGCTATTCTCTATCGCATGTTCTTGGACTTGATGCTACATCTTGCCAAAAGTTCATGTTGTTGTTCAAATTAATACGAGGAGGAATATGGTTGGTTGTTAATTTGCTATGTCAAATTCATGATTATTTTTGCTTTAACATACCTCGATTCCATTTTACGCTATAATCTATGTGGTTTAATTATTGGCTACGGCAAGGACATGGATTTAATGATCATCTTCTTGTTCTCCGTTTCAATATGTAGTTTGATCAAATCCCCTTTGAGGAATCAGACAAATAATATGAATACAATATTTTTTGTCACGAGGAGTCAATATGATATTTGTTATAAAATTTAAAGTTGTAATGATTCATTTGTCAAGAAGGTGGAAAAAAAAATTGTTCCTACACTTTCGAATCATGTTTCAATGCTAATAAAAGTCATGTTGATGAGTCAATACGAGAAATATGGTTTGTTGTTGAGTCATGTTTCGATGCTATTCAGTTATTGACACCAAAACATGACTCAATTCAACGCTAACACAACTAAGTTGAAAATGCTTGACGTAGTTAGGATATGAACACCCACAAACTACTTCACCTTGTGTGTCACGAGAAAAGCTCACATGTTCGTCACTCAATGTTCGGGGTTCTGGAACTAGAACATGTCCAACTTATTCATCTAAATGCCCAAAAGGAAATGTTGTGGATGATTTGAATCGACTTCTTTTTATTTCCTTATCTTTATTTTTTTCTCTCATCAATTTGTACATGATAACGTACAAATAGAATTACTAAAAAGTAATGATATTTGTTGGGTTTTGATACCCAATGAATCTAGGGCGATGATGTAAACGTTGGATTAAATTGTTACCAACAACCAAGACTAAAAACTCAACCCAAAAACAACGTAGGGCCGTTGGAAGTAACTTAAATAATTAACGTTGCTCATAACCCATTTATATTACCTCGTGGATGGTTTTGAGTCTTGAATCATTTAACCCTTTTTATTGGTCCAGCCCTAGCTGTTTTGCGTGTGATTTGTGAGAAAAGAAGAAAGACACGGTGCAAGAGAGGAGAGAAACCGGCATCGCATTTGAAGAGAGAAAAATGTATGGCTTCCTTGGAATTTTGGTCTCGTTTCTTGCCTTTTTTTCATTGTTTTTCTTCTTTCTGTTGTGGCTACAAATTATCACCATTATCTTGTCCTTTGTGGGTGAGATAGAGGAGCAATCGAGGTGAATATATTGGTTGTGGGTTGGGGCCGTTTAGATTTGTTGTTTGGTAGAGAAAGATAACGTGAAATTGAGTCCGAAAAACACCGTTTCGACGACCTTTGAAGCAAGCTTCCGCGACAATTGGTATTAGAGCTTCAAAGTGGTGGATTTGGCTTGAAAAATTGACCAAAAATTGATCAAAAAAGTGGTTGAAACGAAGCAGAATAACAGATCGAAAAACTGTCAGAAAACTGCTTAAAATCCGAGGTTGTTTTCGTGATTTTCGACCGATCTAAAAGGAGTTTGGCGAAACGGAGACCACCACGCGTGATATACAGATGTGGGCGCTCTTGGGTGACTGCGCATAAGGTCGTTGGTGGTACGTGAGGGCTCGTGGAGGCTTTCTCGACGATGGTGTCTTCAGGCAGTTTATTCCTAATATTCTTGCTTGACACTTTGGTGTTTTTAGTTTTTTGATTCAAGTTATACAACAAAATCTGGGCGATTTTGTTATTTGTGTGTTCAAGATTAGATCGTGGTTGATTGGTTCATGCGATTGTTGGAGACTTTAGGATGAATAGTGATGGTCCTAAAGCGATAAATTCGCATCTCTCGGTATTTACGAACTCAAATTGATTGACTCGGTATCATATTCTTTCCCTTTTATTATTGTGTTGTGATTATTGTGTTGGATAATGATTTATTTTTTGTATTAGAAGTCATCGTGTGAGGTGACATTAGGATTGATGTTACTGTGAAGGGGTAACTATTGCCTGTTGGTAGATTTAGGCATTATTTGCCTTAAATTCTCCGTGAATTTGTTGTTAAATATTTTTCACTATTAGAATTGCATGTAACCTTAGGAAAGATTATTTGACAATTCTGTGTGAATTGTGTATGTACTTTGCTTGTGGTCGTCATTTGTTTACATTTTGTGTTTTGTGCATTTTTTGGTTAAAATGACAACACGTTTTGAGTTGTGTTGTTTTAAAGAAAAATGTGATTTTTTAATTTGAGAAAATGAAAAGGTTTTTCATAAAACTTTTGATGAAAAATGTAGGTCTAAGGCAAGTGCAGAACATAAAATGTGTTTAACTGCAGTAAATTTTGACATGGTGAAATATGTTGTCATATGAATGATAATAAAAGGAAAGATAAGGAGAGGATGAGGCGAATGTGGTTATAGGGTCAAGTGATGACTCTGGTGAGGTTTATTGAGAGTAAATCTAGTTACGCACGTGCATCCGTGTGTAATCCTTACTGCATGTATGTGATTACTTAATTCTGTTGCATGGTTGTATGTGCATTTCAATGTGTTTAACATGTGCATTTGCATGAATTTGAGAGCAATTTAATTACTGGGTGTAATTGTTTGCATAGATAGTGGGTTAAGATACATTAGTAGTGTGTTGGATGTCTATTGGTGAGGTAAAATATAGATGCCTAGGAGTACATTAGTGGTTTGTACCCGGGGATGTGGAATGTGACATTTTGATCACGAGTGGAGAAGTGATTAAATGTTGGAATCATTTATCTGTGAAGAAATTCTGATCAGGTGGAGTGTGATAGAGGCACTTTTATCACTTCTGTTAAGTGGAAACTCATTATCCATTTAGGTTAGGAGAAGTGATGTAGTGATAGAGGATTATTCCGATGACTTAGGATCTATAAATGTCTACCAATTAGACATGAGTTGAGTGATCGGTCTAGTGAGCATGGTAAGCGATGAAGTGAGATATGTGTTCTCAAGGTATGAGCAACATGGAATGGAATATGATAAGTGTGGTGAGATCTTTTCATGAGATCATTTATGCATTTGTTACTTATGCGTTTGGACTGTTTGCTTGATTAACTTGGTGTTAATCCGTTGTTTTGTGTGAACGTATTCTGGAAAAGATCTGTAAATTATCCTATGTTATATCTCCATCGCATGATTATTTGTCATTGATTGATTACTGTGATTATCTAAAACTTAAATAATTAACGTTGCTCATGACCCATTTATATTACCTATCGGATGGTTTTGAGTCTTGACTCATTTAACCCTTTTTATTGGTCCAACTAAAGTCTAACCTAGCATATATATACGGTGTTCTTGCCCTAGCTGTTTTGCGTGTGATTTGTGAGAAAAGAAGAAAGAAACCGTGTGCAAGAGAGGAGAGAAACCGGCATCGCATTTGAAGAGAGAAAAATGTGTGGCTTCCTTGGAATTTTGGTCTCGTTTCTTGCCTTTTTTCATTGTTTTTCTTCTTTCTGTTGTGGCTACAAATCATCACCATTATCTTGTCCTTTGTGGGTGAGATAGAGGAGCAACCGAGGTGAATATATTGGTTGTGGGTTGGAACCGTTTAGATTTGTTGTTTGGTAGAGAAAGATAACGCGAAATTGAGTTCGAAAAACACCGTTTCGACGACCTTTGAAGCAAGCTTCCGCGACAATTGGTATTAGAGCTTCAAAGTGATGGATTTGACTTGAAAAATTGACCAAAAATTGATCAAAAAAGCGGTTGAAACGAAGCAGAATAACAGATCGAAAAACTGTCAGAAAACTGCTTAAAATCCGAGGTTGTTTTCGTGATTTTCGACCAATCTAAAAGGAGTTTGGCGAAATGGAGACCACCACGCGTGATGTACAGATGTGGGCGCTCCTGGGTGATTGCGCATAAGGTCGTTGGCGGCGCGTAAGGGCTCGTGGAGCTTTCTCGACGATGGTGTCTTCAGGCAGTTTATTCCTAATATTTTTGCTTGACACTTTGGTGTTTTTAGTTTTTTGATTCAAGTTATACAACGAAATCTGGGCGATTTTGTTATTTGCGTGTTCAAGATTAGATCGTGGTTGATTGGTTCATGCGATTGTTGGAGACTTTAGGATGAATAGTGATGGTCCTAAAGCGATAAATTCGCATCTATCGGTATTTACGAACTCAAATTGATCGACTTGGTATCATATTCTTTCCCTTTTATTATTGTGTTGTGATTATTGTGTTGGATAATGATTTATTTTTTGTATTAGAAGTCATCGTGTGGGGTGATATTAGGATTGATGTTACCATGAAGGGGTAACCATTGCCTGTTGGTAGATTTAGGCATTATTTGTTAATTATTTGCCTTAAATTCTTTGTGAATTTGTTGTCAAATATTTTTCATTATTAGAATTGCATGTAACCTCAGGAAAGATTATTTGACAATTCTGTGTGAATTGTGTATGTACTTTGCTTGTGGTCGTCATTTGTTTACATTTTGTGTTTTGTGCATTTTTTGGTTAAAATGACAACACGTTTTGAGTTGTATTGTTTTAAAGAAAAATGTGATTTTTTAATTTGTGAAAACGAAAAGGTTTTTCATAAAACTTTTGATGAAAAATGTAGGTCTAAGGCAAGTGCGAAACATAAAATGTGTTTAACTGCAGTAAATTTTGACATGGTGAAATATGTTGTCATATGAATGATAATAAAAGGAAAGATAAGGAGAGGATGAGGCGAATGTGGTTATAGGGTCAAGTGATGACTTTGGTGAGGTTTATTGAGAGTAAATCTAGTTACTGCACGTGCATCCGTGTGTAATCCTTACTGCATGTATGTGATTGCTTAATTCTGTTGCATGGTTGTATGTGCATTTCAATGTGTTTAACATGTGCATTTGCATGAATTTGAGAGCAATTTAATTACTGGGTGTAATTGTTTGCATAGATAGTGGGTTAAGATACATTAGTAGTGTGTTGGATGTCTATTGATGAGGTGAAGTATAGATGCATAGGGGTACATTAGTGGTTTATACCTGGGGATGTGGAATGTGACATTTTGATCACGAGTGGAGAAGTGATTAAATGTTGGAATCATTTATCTGTGAATAAATTCTGATCAGGTGGAGTGTGATAGAGGCACTTCTATCACTTCTGTTAAGTGGAAACTCATTATCCATTTAGGTTGAGAGAAGTGATGTAGTGATAGAGGATTATTCCGAAAACTTAGGATCTATAAAGGTCTACCAATTAGACATGAGTTGAGTGATCGGTCTAGTGAGCATGGTAAGCGATGAAGTGAGATATGTGTTCTCAAGGTATGAGCAACATGGAATGGAATATGATAAGTGTGGTGAGATCTTTTCATGAGATTATTTATGCATTTATTACTTATGCGTTTGGACTGTTTGCTTGATTAACTTGGTGTTAATCCGTTGTTTTGTGTGAACGTATTCTGGAAAAGATCTGTAAATTATCCTATGTTATATCTCCATCGCATGATTATTTTCTATTGATTGTTTGCTGTGATTATTTGCTTCTACTTGGGTATTTGTTTGTGACCATAACCATGATTATTGTGATTATCTGCTTCTAATTGGGTATTTGTTTGTAACCTTAGCCCTGGTGAGTACATGGAGCACGTATGGTATGTGTTTCGAGTCGAAACACAAGGCAATGTTTGTAATTCCAATTTTATTGGTTACATTGATTATGCAAGAGTTAACTGTGTTTTAATTGCTTGCAGATTGATTGGGTATCGATGTGGAGATTTGTTGGGTTTTGGTACTCAATGAATCCTGAGCGATGATGTAAACGTTGAATTAAGTTGTTACCAACAACCAAGTCTAAAAGCTCAACTCGAAAACAACGTGGGCCGTTGGAAGTAACTTAAAGTCTTAAATAATTAACATTGCTCATAACTCATTTATCTTACCTCTTAAATGACTTTGAATCTTGGCACATTTAACTCCTTTTATTGGTCAAACTAAAGCCTAACCTAGCATATATATATATGGTATTCTTGCCCTAGCCGTTTTGTGTGTGATTTATGAGAAAAGAAGAAAGAAACCGTGTGCGAAAGAGGAGAGAAACTGGCAGCCCCTTTGAAGAGAGAAAAACGTGTAACTTCCTTGGTATTTTGGTCTCGTTTATGCCTTTTTTTTCATTGTTTTTCTTCTATCTTTGTAGTTACAATTCATCACAATTATTTTGTCCTTTGTGGGTGAGATTGTAAACATATTGATTGTGGCTTAGAGACATTTGCATTGATTGTTTGGTAGATAAAAGTAACATAAAATTGAGCCATAAAAAAGGTCCTTTCGACAACCATCAAGCAAGCTTCCGCGACATTATTCATAGCGTTTTAAGTCTTGACAGGAAGAAAAGAATACTGATTGGAGGCAACAGCTAAGTAAAGAACAGGTTGCGTTCACCAGTCGGCAAGGGAAAATCTAAAAAACTATGGGATTCACATAGCGGTTAATCTGTTCACCTACGACCTAACCCTCTCCCTTCAGACAACCACCAACTAAATTCCGCCCACAACTTTTCCTTTTCAACAAATTCAACTCACAACATTGTTTTTGCAACTCTGTATTCAATTTTTTTTTCCCAAGATGGCCGGAAAAGAAGACCCACGAACGGAAGTTTATATACGGGTCCACTCGCGGCGAGGGGCCTATACAATCCATCCAGTGGAAGAGGATACGCCGCCAGTCACCGCCACTTCCACCGCCCCAAGTCCTAATGTTGTTGCTTACAGAGAAGTAAAGCATTTCAAGAAATGGATGACCTGGTTGATACCTTCCTTTGTTGTCCTCAATACAGTAATGTTTGTTATAACCATGTATGTTAATAATTGTCCCAAGAATTCGGTATCTTGCGTTGCTGGGTTTTTGGGGAGGTTCTCCTTTCAGCCCTTCAAAGAAAATCCTCTCCTTGGCCCTTCTTCATCTGCGTAAGACTCTTTTTTCTTCTTTCTTTTGTTTTTGAAGTTTCAAGTTGCTTTCGTCTATGCCTTTTTGTTATTAGGACTTTTTAATGAACTTTGGTGAATGTTTTAGGCACTACTAAGTACTAACTGAATTGTTGCGAAACAATTAACTGGAATGAGAATATTAAGTTTTTGGATTTACTTTGCAAATGTAATGAAATTTTATGATACTACTGGTACTCTGCCAAATCGATATAAGCAAGGATATGAGTTTGAGTTGAATAGAGAGGTGAAACAAGATTTATGCTGTTAGGCAGAAAATGAAAATAGTTGTAATGATCTCGGTTGAGCTGAGTGATGATTGATGCGTCCTCTTGTACTTCCTGTTTGCATATGCTGCTGGTTTTCTGGTTTAATGGTGGGGGGGGAAGGTAAACTATTGAAGTTGATTCACAAATCAAGTATATATACGATAATAAACATTTGTCTAACTAGATTTAAATGGATAGTTCTGAAAGGATTTTAATGTTCCTAGCGCGATAGAGAGCAGCGGTTTAATATTTTGCACACTGAAGGCATCAAAATTATTAGAAGTGAGACATTAAAAGGCGAAATTATTGAAGTTGATTTCCGAATCAAGTATGCTTATATGGTACCAAACATTTGTTTAACTAGGTTTAAATGGACTAGAGAGAGAGAGAGAGGCAGTTTTATATTTTGCACATTAAAGGCATCAAAAGTTTTAGAAAAGAGGCATTAAAGGATGAAATCAAACCAGAAGGGAAGGGTGCTATGGAAAATTTGGTGCATGTGTCAAACATGTTAGGCTCATTTACATAGTGGAAACTACCTCAGCTTGTCCATTTTTATATGAGGTGGACTACTTGTGTTTATGTATATATTAGTGGATGATCTTTTTACATCTGATTTAACTTTTTATTTGAGTATGTATTGCACAGTTCACTACCACGTCAAAGATAAGTGCGTCCTAGGTTAATGAAGTAGAGATACTTTTTGGTTTTAATGTTTTACCTGATATAATAGATCATCTATGACCATAAATTGCTATTCGTGGAAGATGGAATGATTCTGTGAATTGCTTCTAAAACACATTCACCCTCTTTTTTAGGTTAGAGAAGATGGGTGCTTTAGATGTGAGTAAAGTGGTCCACAAACATGAAGGATGGCGCCTCATTACTTGTATGTGGTTACATGGTGGAGTTTTTCATTTACTAGCCAACATGCTGAGCCTGTTAGTTATTGGCATTCGGCTTGAGCAAGAATTCGGGTTTGGTATGTAACATGCTACACAGTCCTGAGTTTCGAATATGTCGTGCACTTTATTTCTAACAATATATTATGTAATTTTGCATTACTTTAGCTAGAATAGTTACTATTGATTTACACATAAATGCATATTATGATCTTTAATGCGAAGGTTAGTGCTATGCTATAATTATGGCTTATAACCAATAGTGATTATGGAATATGCCATCTGGAATGTTTGCATTACCTTGTGGGCTCTCTTTAGCTTAACCTTGTACATTTTTCCAGGGTTAATATGTAACCTTATTGTCTATTAAGTTGAGAACACTTAACACCCCCTGTTTGAGCCCCATTTTTGGACCAAAATGTATTTTGTTGTCATTATCATTTATTTCATCCAATATGAACGAAGGTCGCAGAGGAGCATGATGAAAAGGGCATCATCAATGATCAACTTTATAATGTTTTGATTTAAGTTAACATTATTATATTGGTGATATATTGTTTGTAGACAAGTATTGTCTTCTTTCATTTCTTTAAATTTGTTTGGTACTCAATGTCAATATGGGCCAATATACATGTGTATTTGTGTGTACATGGTATGTATGTTTATTTGCAGGTAATTCATCGAGCCCCTTCCAACTATAGGAAGATAATATTTGACTGCCATTTTGTATTTTCTATTTGCAGATCACAAAGACCAGGAAGGAGAAAAATACGTTCAGTTGAAATTAGGCACGAGCCTACTAGTTAGTTCAACATTCCCCTAGTGAATGTAGTTAGAAAGTCTGCCCCTCCTTTCAGGTCCTCTTTCTCCACTACAACTGTACATGCCTACATAGGTAAGCCTCTCTCCAACTGTCCTTCACCTCCATCATTATGACCATTGCCCCAACTACCACCACCACATTTCCTTCCGATCCTCCCACTTCACTTCCGCCTCTATTTCCGGCCACCTTATTTCTTTGCCTTAATTAGAACTCTCACCTGCATTTAACTTGAAGACTTTACAACAAGGCCACTATCCTCCTCTACCTCATTCCTTACCCCTAACCACTACCACTTAATACATCTATTATCTCGATGTATCCATCAACGGTATCTAAGTTTGATGTCTGCATGGGAGAATAATAATTAAAATTGAACCAAAATGAAGGGCTGAAAATTATTTATTGGGTTATTGCATAATTATATAACTTGATGGCGTCTTGTTATATTCATTACTTTATGATTTTGAGTTGGATAAGATTAAGGGTGATGGTATAGTCACAATGGAGGATATTGTTGTTCCAAATAGTAATGGTTTAGGAATTTAGGTTTAGTTATGGATCAGGAAAGAGGACTTGTAGAGGATATGAAACATAAGACTAAATCGGGTTGGACGAAATAGAGAAGTGTTACAGGATTACAAGGATCCTATGTGGTCAGTAGATACTCGCCAAGTTAAATGGCAAGTTCTACATAATGGTTATTGGACTAGTTATACTTTTATGTTATCGAGTGTTGGGCCATTAAAATGTCAAATTTTCATGAGACGAATGTAGCAAAAATAATGGTGTTCATGTAATCATACTAAAATAAAGGAAATAAGAAATAAAGATATATAAAGGTAGCTTCAATTGAAAATAACTTAGTGAAGTGTGAATTGGTAAGGGGAAAATATTTTATAGACCTAAAGATATTTCCATTGAAGAAGAACCGCGCGATCTTAGAAGAAGAGGACGTGTAAACTAGAATTTACATGGTCGGATGTAGTTAGATTTGATTTTCTTGGACCATTATGTACATGCAATGAAAAAGAATTTATGTAGTTATGTTGTTTGAAAAGGTTCAATTGAGTATGTAGGTGTTTTAGTTTTTTTAGGGGAGACTTGCGCCGCAAGCCTCTGAACAAACTAATAAAATTATTCAAATAAACAGGAAACAAAAAAAATGTGTTTATAATAAACCATAAACCATCTTCAAAATCCGTAATGAAACAAATTAGCAAAATTAAAATTCTAATTTACAAAGAAAGATAGAATAAAGTAGCAAAATATATGTTTTCAAAGTGCTATCTACTACTAGAAGTAGAGACAACCTAGAAATCTCCTTCTTTATCAGTTTCTTGTCATCCTTTATTATCATCCTTCACGTGCAATGTTGCGTTTTTCTTTTCTTCCCCTTCCATGTAAAAGGCATAAAAAAGAAAATAAAAGAACCTTAAAATGTAGTCTATAAAGAAAATTGCTCCAAAACTTGAGGCTAATAAAATGTGGATCTCGATGCATAAGCCTCAGAAAACTTTCTATAACAAATGGACCCAAAGTACATTTGCAATAAGATATATTTTGTTGTTTTTTACGTTTGTTTGAGTGGAAAATGATATAATGAACTTGTTTTTATGGTTTAGATAGTGGTAGTGGCAGTGATTTTAAGAGGTGATTTCTACTACGAATGGCATTTTGGTCTAGTATCAGTGGCTCATTATCTGCATAAGTTGTTCTGTCCTTTTCCTTTTTTATTATGTGCTTGAGTGGGGGTGTATGGGGATCAGAGGTTGAATTGAGTGTTGGTTTAGATGGGGAGGGGGGCAAAGTTCGAGCTCTAGGATGCTTTGCCTGGTGGAGTATAGTGGTGGGGAGGTTTTTTGGTGCTGATGGGCTGTGATTGAAATGGTCACTGTCTTTTTAACAGATTTTGGATGGAAGTTGGAAGCCTAATAGATGGGTGTATTTCTTTACATACATAAGGTGGCAAGTACCATTTTCCCATGGAGGAGGCTTAATGAAAATTACACAAAAGCATGCTTATATTGATAGAGTAATGTTATTTATCTCCATTAGAGATGATCACCGCATGATATGGCATTAAATGATAAGATCAATAAAGTGTATCTCATATCTATACATTTAATTGGCCTTATCATTTCATTTCATAACGGGTGATAATCTTTAATGGAGATAAATAATATTATTCATATTGGTGTCTTTGTCACTCGATAATATGTATCATACTGGCATCAGTATTTGAGCAATACATGAAAAATGGATTTTTTTGCTAAATGATTTAAGCTTTACTCGTGCGCCTGAGTTTTCTCTTTCTGGAATTTATGTATTTGTAGGTTTTTTTTTTAAAAAAGGAACGGAGTAAAGGCTTAAGTTGCTGTATTCATTTTAACATCGTAAGATTTAGATCAGGTTTCTTACTTTTCTTGCCTTGTTTTCTTGTAGTACGCATTGGATTGCTTTATGTTATCTCTGGGCTTGGTGGGAGTTTGTTATCTGCTCTTTTTATTCAGTCTAATATTTCTGTCGGTGCTTCTGGTGCACTTTTTGGATTACTTGGAGGTATGCTTTCAGAGCTGATAACCAATTGGACCATATATGCGAACAAGGTATGCATCTAACTGCTGTTAGGTTAGGCCTTTATGAAGTGGCGAAGCCCACTATTACCTACTTTTGAGGCTTTAACAATTTCCTATTTATTTTGTTCTTCAGGTGGCAGCTTTAGTGACCCTTGTGATTATTATTGTTATCAATCTAGCTGTTGGAATCCTCCCGCATGTGGACAACTTTGCTCATATTGGAGGATTTTTATCTGGTTTTCTTCTCGGTTTTGTGTTTCTAATCCGTCCCCAGTTTGGATGGGTTAACCAGAGATATGCTCCAGGTGGATATTCTTCGGTATCAGCTAAACCTAAATTTAAGGCGTATCAATGCATTCTCTGGGTCCTTTCTTTGATCCTTCTCATAGTTGGGTAAGTTCCAGGTCTTCTACCTCTGTTTTTCTAAATCATTTGGATCTGCTGTTCTTTCCTTTTTCACATTCTCTTTTGTTGGGGTGGTCGGTGGGGGAATGTGGGATCTTAAAGCATGCACAAATAAATTTGCACTCCAAGTTGATTTCCTATATGGACGAGACAATTTCTATTTTTTGGGAAATTCTGCTTATATAGCTTGTTACCCTGACTTCTTAAATCCCCACGTGAAGTTCTGTTTGGAACCATTATACAATTAGCTGATGAAGTTTACAGACATAGAAGGGGATGTAAGATGGCGTGTGATAACAAATTCAATGCTTATAATTGAAGTTTGTTCCTAGTATGCAAAGATGAAATCACTTTAACGGATGAGCTTCTAACTATTTTTACCCCCTCAATTGAGAATCCTTTTTTGGCCTTTTAATGTAAAACCGTAAATGTTTTTGCAAGCAATATTCATCTTAATTTACTTGATGGTTCTCAAAATAATTGATTCAAAATGAAAATTAAGTATTACTGCCACGATTTTGGAACTTTTTGCTGGTCAAATGAAGCTATCACTCTTAAATGCAACGCGATCTCAGTATAACATGTTAGAAGACCGAGGTGCGTATGAAAATTAGCATGGCCTAACACATGCAAAATATTTGATTTTGTTGACTCTCTTGGTAGATGTAGTAATAAATCGAATGGAGTGACAAAAAGGTTTATTGAAGCCGACCTATATTTGTTGGAAATAAGACTTAGTATTTGTTCTTCAGCTTGAGTTAAACAAGGACTGCTTTAGGGAAAAAGGATTATTTCTTTAAGAATTAAGTTTCTGTAACAAGATGCGTGTTCATACTTTAAGAGTGGAGCCATCACTTGATGGTCATCAAGATAAGTTGTTTTACTTGGTGCTTGTTTGGGAGTGTTTTAAATTAAAATTTAAACTGAGGGTCCCAAAAAATGTGCGCATAAAAAGTGGGTAATAAGTTGTGGGTCCATAGAATTTGGGGATAAAAAGTGTGTTTCACCGGCTTAAATTATAATTTAAGCTTTACCAAACATGCACTTTTGTATTGCAACTTAAAGCATTCGTCATGGATTCAGCTGGCATCTTCAAGCATTTTTGACATTGTCTGCTGAACTCATGTAGAGAAAAAAAAATGAACATTTTAAGCAACAAAATTATGCCTAGTCTAATACAAGAATGATATAGAGTCAGAGACTAATCCTGTTACAACTATTGAATCATTTAATGGAATTTCACAACTCCTTGTGTCTCCAAAGTTTGCTTATCAAAATTTCGCATTTCAATTGTGTTATTAGACGTTGATTGTTTCTCTCTGACTTAAGATCTGTGTTGATTTTGATAGATTCACTGTTGGCCTGTTATTGCTTCTTCGAGGAGTAGATTTGAATGATCACTGCTCATGGTGCCACTATCTGAGTTGTGTTCCAACTTCAAGGTGGAGCTGCAATACTCAGCCTGTTTCATGCACGGTGAGGAATTGTGAATTTACATTTTCGTTTTATGCATTCAATAGTATTTGTATCCTCTCCCAAAAAATTCTTACGAGTGAGCGGAATCATGTGGACAATTACATGCTTGAAAGTGATACACACACCACAAAGAAGGATATTGCTTTTAATTTTTGTTACATTGGGTTGAATATGCACTAAAGTGATCCAATTTCTGGCAATTTGACATAGTTACTCTGAATAAGTGGACCAGAGTACACATGACATTCACTTTCTTTACTCTAGTTTGATGAAAGTTGAAAATGTCTCTCCATACATTTCTTCATTTATTTGCCTTTGCAATCTTATGAAATGATTTTTCAAAATTTGTCAATTTTACAGTCTGAGCAAACGGGAACAGATCAATATACTCTAACGTGCTCAAATAACGGTAGAACCAGGTCGTATTCTTTGCTGAGTCCAACCACCTCGCAGATCCAGGGGCTATGCGCACAGCTTTGTTGATTATAAACACACTTGTCTGGGTTCAATTGAGATATATACACATGTATAGTTGAAGATCTAAATTTGCTTTATAATATCAGTTAAAAACGCTTGTCACTAATTATTTATTTGTTCACTGTGCATGAGTTTGATAGATTGTGAAATTTTGTTGACTGGCACGTCCATTCTTTGCATAATATCCCGAAGTAGAACTCACATTTGTACTATTGGTTTTAAATGATTTAGAGTGGGGAGAGCCAAGATTGTCTGTCCACGACTGATGAGTGCATCGATTCTTGAACATGGACCCAATCTGCAGTTAATGCATCGTCGTATTTGAGATGCCTTTCACACATTCTTGTCGTCACTTTGAAGAAAACTAAATAATGAGAAAGAAAGCCCATATCCCAATGGGATACCTGGATTCAACAATCACATGGCATGATTATGAATGCTGCTGGATCAAATTTCCACCGACAACGAAACCCAACATTGCACACTTGCCACTGTGAAAACTCGGTTGATATAGATTAATGTTATTTGTAGTCGTTCACTATCCTAGTCGTCCTACGTAATACCGTTGGTCTGGCATAAGTTTTTTACATGAACAAAAATATGGCATCAAACCGTTGTGCATTTTCTTGTTGATGAATGTATCTAACTATTTCTTCCAAATAGAATCATCATAAATCGACAAGAGTAGTATAGTAGGCTAGCCTCCGTTGAAGGGGGAAAAAAAAATCCTCAGGATTGACTGGATCCATCCTTGCTATTGATTTTATAGTATCTCTAGATTAACAATACTAAAAGAATATCGTTTTTAACTAGCAAATGGGCATGCGTATCGTGATAGAGCTTTTGATAAAAGTTTAAATAGATTCCGATGAAAATCCGTTGAAAAATTGATAATGTTTGTGGTATTCATGAAATATGTGGTTAAAATTGAAATTTAACCAGTTGAAAAGTTAATAAAATTGAATAAAAGATTTATCAAACAATCTCAAAATACGGATTTTCGCGGTCGATGAATTATTACTTTTGTCTTCATGCTTCAACTTTACTATGAAAGTTGCCCCCACCACGATCTTCATTTCGATGAGAGACGCAAGTCAAGATCTTGAAAGCTTTTGAAATGTATAGTATTTTCTGTAGAAAACTGGAAAAGGCCTCATTATCATACAAGTTTGGGGACCCAAATATCATATGGTTGAATAGTGTCATCCGGGTACTTGTCTGAGATGTTACAATTTGAGTGGGAGCCAGCTAAACGAGAGATCTCAACTCTATGGACGACACGGGGAAGAAGTAGAACAACCAATAAATTTTGTCACTAAGCATTCCTTAATAGTATCTTAGAATGCTTATATAAATTTCTTTAAATGAATATAATGTCACACGAAATATACTTTAGCGTCTAGTGATTATACGAAGAAACAAAAAATGGATAGAGAAAAGATGTGTCGACTCCTTTCTCTATCATAAAATCACTTCAAGGGTTGGCGTGTTTAGCCCGATCATTGCTTAGACAAGTGAGCCATGCAATGTAGTAAATAATACGTATCATGTAATTCACACGGGTTAAACATTGAGATGCAGAAGAACGTCTTATGGAGTAAAGAGAAGCGTACGACTTCTTAATTGATCAATTTGGTCACTTTCTATACATTATCTTGGCTTAGGAGTTCAGCAAGGTTTTTGAAATTTTAGAGAGATCAAATATAATGGCAATCACCAACTACACCTCATATTTTCATTGATGTAAATTGGGACCCAACGGTTAATTCAACCAACAGAGAAAGCAACTCTAGCCTTTTTTGATTTGATTTCCTCATACTGTTAGTCATTGTTCTTCCCACTAACGAGTTTTTCTGCATCTTAGTGTAGTTCGCAATCATGCTTTATGTGAATCATGTGATTGTAAATCAAGTACCACGTATCTTTCTTTTGCTTAAACAAATTACTCGGTGTTCCAAATTCTCAATACAATGCACCCTTCTATAGGGAATATTATATACAATAAAATAATTGCAATGGATAGGAAAGATTGAGAAATCAAAATTATTTACAACCTATCAATAATACACCTTAATTAAATAATTTCAGGTGAAAGTTGTACCATAATAAAGCAAGCAAAAGTTTTCAAAATAAAATATTCCCAGACTTTTAATATCTTCTTTATCACCCCTTAAAGTTGATGCTGGTGAATTAACAAGCATTATATCAACAATTAACTCATATCATGTCTTTCCCAAAGATTTCTTAAAGTTATTTGTCAATTGAAGATCGGAGGACATATGAGGTATTTTGATGGTATGATCGTCAAATTCATCCTGTGACAATCTACTCGATGCATTCATTTGTTTCGTGAAGAATAGGATTTCCGGATATTTGAATAACGCTCTCAAGTTATGTACACGTAGTGGGGTTGAGATTGATTGAGAAAATCCCGATTCAAATAAAAGTCGATGTAGCCAAATATTTTCAAACAAACGAAGAACATAGTCCTACATTCTGCTTCTATAGAAGATTTGGAGACCCTATACTATGTTTTGCATTTCATGAAATTAAAGAATCAATAGGATACGTACACCAACATATAATGGAGTGACGCAATCTACATCATTGTAAGCTTTCAGATCAAGAGAAATTCCAATCCAATAGAATAACTTACATTTAGAAGTCCCAAGTAAATATCGAATTATCTTTTTTAATATCTGAAAGATGGATGGCTGTGTGTGCTCAACTTTGAGTCGTCCTATCGATGCCTGCACTGTGCTTAAATTCTTTTAAAAAATAAAAAATCGAAGTCCTTAAATGGGCCGACTAAATGGCCCAACCAAAATCTAATACCTTACCCAGTAAACTTAACCCGTACCCAATAAAAAATAAGATGAAGGCACGAAGCAGCTCCGGTTCTTCAAGAATCAAGACACGACGTCACTCAAATTCGGCCGGCGAACTTCACCCCTCCGGCTCCAATTCCAAAGTCTCCGAGCTATTTAGCCATATGTTTAATAAAAGATTATAATCTAGATTTTTATCGAAGTCGAAGTCAACAATTAATTTTAACCACATATTTTATGGGATCCACAACTTTTCAATCACTCATTTCATTAACTTTTATCAAAATTTGTTAAAAATCTAATTTTAATCTCCATCAAATAAGGATTTAATTTACAAGTAGGTTTCTTTGCTTTTCGCCATTGTATTGTTTTTTTAACAATTTGCAAATTACTTATGTATCGTTAAAGTAAACAAATTATTTTTATTGTACAATTTTTTTTTTTTCATTTCTATTTTCTGCAATCTGATTCTTTACTTTATTATCTTCTGAAAATTGGAATAATGAAATTGTGCATTTATTATGTTTAAAGTTTATCATGTTTACTTGTCTAGAAACTACATTCTCTTGTAAATGTTGAAATTTGCACATGATTTTATTTATGTAATATCTTCATTCAACATGATTTTTATTTGCGAGTCATGCTTCAATTACAGCTTTATTTGACAGCCTGGGGCATGTTATGTGGGCCACACCCCCCATGTGAGTGGACTGTCAAAAAAAACTGTCAAATAAAGCTGTACATTTAACTTTATTATTTTATTTGCCTTATCACTTACACCTCGATCAAAAATTATCTTCATACGATACCATATTGATTTGATCGATTATGATTTCGATTTTGATTTCACTTTCGGGTTTGGTTCCATATCTACACACGCCAACCCCTATCGACGACTTCAACCGATAAATTCGTCTATTCTGGAATAATTTCCTGTCCATGAATCTGGAGCAATATTAGGAAGGAGACATTAATACTATAAAATCTATTCTAAAACATTATTTGAATTGGAAAAACATTTGGTCAATAAAAAACTCTTATCATAAAAGTCAAATGCAAATTAATTAGCATGATTAATTAAAAGATTTATTTTTTAAATTAAGTAAAGCCTTTAATATATACTCTAATATTAGAAATATTTTGCTAAGTGATACGGAAACATATGGAATCTGAAGAACAGTACTCTCCTTAAAAAAGAAATTTCGACAACTCCATTGATTAAAAAAAAAAAATGTTTCTCAATAAATAATTAGCATTAATTTATCTAATCTATGATTACCGACTCAATTAGAAAGTAATATGCTGCAATGAATTAGACGACCATCACACATTAACATAATTTAAATTTAATTAATCACACTGAACGGCATTATATATTTTATCTTTTCATGAGATTATATTCACATTCTATACACTTCACAACTAAGAGCATACTTTCTTTGCTGTTTTCAGACCATTTTTAGTTTTCAATTTTCGAGAACATTGAAAGCACGTTTGTGATTTCTCAAAAATGATTTGCTTTTTAAAACATTTTTTAGGTGACGAACAAATAAACACTTGATATAAGCACGTGGCTCATTTACTAACAAATTATTTACATGTTCGGTAAGTTATCCTTATATGACTCTTCTTTTGTTTCTTAACTTTAAAGTAAGACCAAACTCATTACTCGTAAACTTATTTTCTTAGATCAAAATAACATAATCGAGTCGATGTTATCAATACCACACAAAATGTAATATACGATTACAACTTGTGGCGGCATTGCTAGTCCACCTAAGTACGTTATCTTCACATACTTTCTAACTATTGTGTTTATTTTATGAATTTATAAGTACATTTAACACTTTATTTTTCAGAAGTCGCATACCATTTTAAGAGTAAATTCTTCGAAATGTGACTTGTTACAGTACTGCTAACGTAACATGTTTTTAGAAATGAACGTCGCTACAAATGGATCGAGTCATACGCGTAAGCGTAACACGCTTTCCTCTTGCAAACTAATATGAAAGTGAAATTTTGCTCAGTGGGGAGCATTATTAATCTAAAAAAGTTAGATCCGTTGCATATCCTAATACTTTTCTTAAAAATGTGTCGAACAATAATCGTGTAATTTCTTGTGATTTTGGATCCCAATAAATGATATACAAAAAGTCAAAGCCGTATGGTCCAATTCAAATCATAGCACTTCTTAAAACTTGTGCTTCTATTGGATTTTAACTAAAATCCATGTTTAATTAGCATTTAAATGACAAAAAATGTATGCCTAAGTCAAACGTTTGTCTTATTCACTCCATAAAAGTAAAGCAAGTTTTGTATAATTATTCCTAACGCGTTCAAAAATAGATTCTTAATCTCAAAATGAGATTTTGAGTTTTCTAAAACTTTGTTAAGCGGATCCTTATTATCAATAAGAATTATTCCGTAATTTTGAATACTGAAAAAAAAATGAGAAAATCTCCTTATCGTCCGAAGACACCGAACCCCTAAAGTGAACAGCTCTGCTACATAGACGGAGTCAAGGACATGATTTTTTTTACAATAGAGACACGTATCATTATTTTATTGGACAGTTAGAAAAAGAAGAATCCATACAACAGAATCGTCTAAACCCTTGTCAATTAACCATGTACAAGCAGCATTATTGTAAAGCGAAAGTATTAAAATTGGTCACCGTGGGAGATAGGTGAAAGCAATTAACGCTCACATGAGGACACGTGTACACAAAATGGCCAATATAGGTGCAATCTTAATTGGTGACATGTTCACATGTCTTGCCATGGCCTAATTTGCTTTGCTGGAAAATTAGTTCAAAATTTGGTGACTTGGCAAATTTGCAAGATTTGGTTGGTTTAATATGTACCCTACGTGTTAAAAAGTGCACCTTTCCTAACTGTATCAACCCCCTCGCTTAAATGGTCTAGCAATTTGATGAATATGTTTACATTATTATACTCACATTGCTATAAGAATTTTGGGGAAAGAGGTAGATGGAAATGAAAGCAACACGTGTATGTCTACTCCTGACTAGAAATATGTGATGATTTTTTTTTTTTTTTTTTAATTTTGCATAATTGAGTTTTTCCAATTAAAATCGAGATTAATGTAGAGTAATATTGAGATTTGGCAATCCTTCGATGACATAACTATGTTGTGAATCTCAAAAAATTAATTGGTAAACTCAAAATGTGAGGTTCCTTCTCGTCATCGAGTATATTTGTAAGCAATGTAGGGTAAACTTTTTAAAATTTGAAAAATCAAATTAATGCTATCAATTTTAGACACTCGAGATCGGGTCGTGTAAACACGAATAGACCTTGAGCTCAGCTCGTGTCCACAAACAAGACTTGGCTTGGTCCTTTGGCAAGTGTGGACACAAGCCAAGTCCTATTCGTAAAATTTTACTCAACTTATGAATTGTTACGCTTCTTATGGAGAGGCTTCAGATAGTCAGTGCATAGTTGCCAACCAAGCGAATAAACATGATCCACATTCCATATCACTCTATACCGAATGTCGAGATGGGATGGTCCATATTCATGATAATTGAGGCTATGAGGTGATGTACTTTGGAGTACAATAAGACGAATCAGAAAGAGGTGAAGCGGCGTTGCGCTAGAGTATTATCTCATTGTCTCGTCTGTATTAAACAAAATATCTTTTGTATAGAAGATCAAACAAAAATAGGATTCACACGATGGATTGATGTCATGTCTAGATAGCAAATGCCAAATAAGTCAAATCACCAAATCCACTTGTTAGGGGTATTAAATGCTCGCCAACCTATGGACTGATTGATTGATACCTAGAAAGGGAGTCTCATCTAGCATATGAGGCATTTGTTCCTCCATCCAATGGTCCCAAATCCACATATACTCTTTGCCTTATTATCTTGAATCACACGTGTTATTTCCTTCTCTTTCGACGTAAACAAAAAGGTCACGAGTGACTAACGATTTGATATCGTGCAAATAAAACATGATCACGAAGAGTCAAGTGAACCCAACTTAAGACGGTCCGACTTAACCTTTGCCTTTCTAATTCACTCCATTTATTGTATATTATTGGAATTGGACGTATCATTTAATTCCATTTTAGTGTCCGTGGGATTTGAATAGGGAAATTTAAAGCTGGTAAGTTAATGGTTTCCTCACAAGATAGCAACAAACAGTTGGGATTGGTGGGGAGTGTGTGCTGGCAAAATCCAATCCATATTACATAGACCAATCCCAAAATCAGGTCGTGGCCAATGGTAAGATTAGTAAATACACGAGTGTGAACGATATTAATGAGCTTTCTACAATTATCGTGGCTAATTTCTGTTTAAAAAATTCAAATACATTGCTTTTGTTATCAAGAAAATGTTGTAAATATATGTAAATTAAAAGAAGAGTAATGTTATTCATCTTTACTGGAATTACAAATACAGTCTAGATAGCGTTAATGTGGCATTAAGTTATATGTGAAATTAAATCAGAAGTATGACCTAAAAAATTCGTTTTAAAATTCTAATTATACCAACTTTAAGAAAAGAAACTATTGCATAATGACACTAAAGTTCCATCCAAATTTTACTACAACATACATAATCAATTGTCGGGGCATTTCCAAACATCTATTAAACCAACAATTAAGTGTAGTTAACACTTGTTTATTAAAGGAGCTACATTATTATTTTTTGATTCTGTTTTTGGTCCTTGAAATTGATACAAGACCATAGATGAAGTTATATATGCGATGATATGTTTTAGCTTAATTACGGAGTTTGTTCGTTCTCAATATTTATTGACTTTTTTTTTATTAGTTTTATTAACACGTGGGAACATGTAGATGGTGAGGATGTAGGGAAGTATTAACTTTGTTGGGACGTCCAGTACACCAGCTATTTCTCGACCCTAACCTAAAAAAAAAACTTAGAGCTTGTTTGACACGGATTAAAATCCAATTAAAATTGAAAATATAGCCGTTATTGGGTCCCACCCGTCTAATAAAAGTCAACTCCAACGGCTATATTTTCAATTTTAATCTGATTTTAATCCCTCCCAAACAAGCTCTTAGCTTCTATTTGTATACAAATTTATTAATTAAATTAAAGTCAAATCTTAGAGTGTGTTTGGTAGAGATTAAAATCGGATTAAAATTGAAAAATTAATCGTTATTGTTGACTTTTATTAGACGGGTGGAACTCAATAACGACTATATTTTCAATTTTAATTGGATTCAAAATGTGACTAGAATTTGTACTCCATATGACATTTAACTGTATAGAAAAAAAATTAAAATAAGAATAAATGAAGCATTAACTGATGGATGATAATTAATAATTACAGGTCGTTTGCCCTATGTCTTTGCGTAATACTGTAATGTATTATTCTGCCCCCACCCCCACCCCCACCCCCACCCCCACTGGCTATTCCCTCGCCCCATCATTTCTTTCTCGTCCATAAGAACCCACTCACCTTCCATTCAAGTCAAAACCCTTCTGTGCTCTTTCTCTCCCAAACACACCACGACCACTCTACTCTGTCTAATTCTAGAACTAGAATTCTAACTAAGAATGGCTTCAATGGAGTCATTGCTCTACATTGCTAGCATCCTCTGTTTTCTGACAGCTACTTACGCCAGAATCCCCGGAATTTACACTGGCGGCTCCTGGCAAGGTGCCCACGCCACATTTTACGGCGGCAGCGACGCTTCCGGAACCATGGGTACCCATTTATTCCCTCCAACCCCTCTCATTCCACACACATTCACAAATGTGTACATATGTTCCATTTTTCCCCTGTTTCTGAGTTCTCACACTCTGCCTTTATTTTTATCTTCGTTTACTTTTTTCACAAAAAAATCTGCTATCTGAATTTACCGATTAACCTTAAATCTCTTCATCTACGCACCATTTTTACCGATTAAACTAAATGTCTTGATGATATATTTTTTCTTAAATTTTTTTAGGTGGTGCTTGTGGGTATGGGAATCTGTACAGCCAAGGGTACGGAGTGAACACTGCAGCACTAAGCACAGCGCTATTCAACAATGGTTTGAGCTGTGGAGCCTGCTTTGAGATAAAATGTGCTGCGGACCAGGATCCCAAATGGTGCAACGCCGGCAGCCCCTCAATTTTGGTAACTGCTACAAACTTCTGCCCACCAAACTTTGCATTGCCTAACGACAATGGCGGATGGTGCAACCCTCCTAGAACCCACTTCGACCTTGCCATGCCAATGTTCCTCAAGATCGCTGAATACCGTGCCGGCATCGTCCCTGTTAATTTCCGCAGGTAAGATCCCAAAAACCTTTCGAGTCCCATAGTGCTTAAAAATTATTCAAACTCACTTGAAGTTACTTATCGGTTACATTCTTTAGATTATCCTTTTGGGATCTTGGATTTTTTTACTGAACTTTTCGGAGCCAGTTTATGTGCGAATCTGCTGAGGTTTTGGGGTCATTTAACGAACCATGGTCCATGGCTAACAGAATCCATGTTATCCTCTTTGATGTTTCTCTCTTTTTCGGTGGTCTAATTTAATATCATATATTTGGGAAATGACGATTTTGTCCTCTTCAATTGGCCACAACTTTTCTGGCGCATCGAGGGTGTCAGTTTCTTGGTCACATTTGATATCCATAAATTTTTTGAGGATGTATGGTTAAAAGTAGAAATTTATTTTCATTTAAACGTAAAATTATTTTATTTAAAATATATATAATTAAAAATAAGCTCTTGTTTATCACCTTTTAAAATAAATTTTATTAATTTTCGTAATTATTTTTGACTATATATTCGTCCAATGAAATATTTTGAACGTGAATTTAAAATTTTTCTTATATTTTAATCATATATTCTCCAAAAAATCAATACTCAAAATATCATTTTTTTGAAAATAATTACCATCAAATGGGCCAAAAAATAATAATTAAAACGCTTCAATTACTTTCATTATCACTACTACCATTTCTGCAGTATTACTGTGGCAGTGGTTGGTGGCGCTCCGCGTTAAATTTGCCAACCAAAACCGCGTTTTTCTTACAGGTCATTTTCATCGGACAGAGTTATTGTAGGATGTGCCGGGGTTAAATATGGAAATGAATTTTGAATGATTTTGGAGGGTATAATAGTAAAATAACATGGCACAATTTGCCGGGGATGGGACTGCTACGAAAGAAAATTTGTGGACACGTCTAATGTTGTTGTCCCACGCGCCTTTGGGCCCACCACCTCCGTTAAAATCGGCGCCGTTTAGGTGGTCCACTGTACCGGAAATACCCGCCTACTAAAAAGTGCCCTAATTGAATAAAATCATTAACATTTTAATTTTTTCACATTTGGCAGGGTACCATGTAGAAAGCAAGGAGGGATCAGATTCACAATCAACGGTTTCCGTTACTTCAACTTGGTTTTGATCACTAATGTAGCGGGTGCAGGAGATATCGTGCGGCTTAGCATCAAAGGTACAAACACTCAATGGATGCCGATGAGTCGCAACTGGGGGCAAAACTGGCAATCCAATTCAGTCCTTGTGGGTCAAGCCTTGTCTTTCAGGGTCACGGCCAGTGACCGTCGTTCATCAACCTCATGGAACATTGCACCAGCCAGTTGGCAATTTGGACAGACCTTCATTGGCAAGAATTTCAGGGTGTAAAATAATTGGGATGGAAAATTATTTCCTTTTGGCCAATTAACTTTCCAAGATTTTTCCCGCCTTAGGGGAAAATAGAATAGGGAATTAGATTAAAGTGTGTTTTGAGTGCTTACTTTTGGTCTTCCGTTTCTTTAGCCACTTTGGTATGGTTTTATTTTTTACTTTTACTTTTGTGTTTTTACTTTTGTAGTAGTACTGGTAAAACAAGTCAAGAAAGCCAGTGAGGCTGAAGCGGCTGCACGAAAAAGGAAAGCATGTAGCCCGCAGCCTTAATTATGTTGTCTCAAATGATTACTACTTATAATTGTTATATATGGAGTATGTTTCTATTGCCTCTTTCAGTTTTCAATTCATTCAATTATTTTTATCCAACATTTCATATCGTTTTACAATTCAATCGTTAAAACTTAAAAAAATAAAATAAGTCCAACAAAATCCCACCACAACCTAACCCACAAACATAGTTTTTGTGTCAACGAACAAAACATTATTCGTTATTTAAAAAATATGTATGAATTTCCTATGATACCTTGTAAATATTTATGAAGTTCATATAAATTTATAAGGTATGTGTTATTTTATTTATTTACTGTACTGACTAGAATAATAAAAATGATTTTAAGTAAAATTTCTTATTACATTTAGGCTTATAATGTTTGAAACTTGACCTCAATGGCTTGTCGTTGCCACTCACCTTTTAAAACATCGGTTCAGTTTGTCGGACAAGATAAGAAGATTAGAAAATTTGTTGTTTTTTTTTTTCCTTAGATAATATTTGCCAACACATATCAAATGAAAATTCATTATTTAGTTATACGTTGGACGACTACACCGAGTTCGTGTTTGGTGAGAATTAAAATAAGATTTTTAATAGATTTTGATAAAAGTTGATGAAATTCGTAGTTAAAAAGTTGTGGGACTCGTGTAATAAGAATATCAATTTCGAAATCATGTACAAAATCTATGCATTCGTACGGCTATTGGAAAACTCAAAACAAATTCTTCCATTATTCCAAAATATTGTTTGCTAAAGTAAAATTTTAAAATTTTCCACAACATGTTGATCCAATAAAATATTCTACACACAAACTAATAAAGTTGCTTTAAATCTCAACTTCACATTCTCCAAAAAAATACTATTCATTACTCCATATTTCTACAATAACGGGAAACAAGCACACAATAGAAAATTCGAATCAAGGTTATGGCTTGTAAGCATTCACATTATTCAAGATGATCTCAATGAAACTAAAAATAAATAAACAGGTAATCTAATTTAAGGACTTAATGTAATTAATAACTAATTCTTGTATTAAAATCGATGGTTACCATATACCCTTACTAAATTGTAATAAGCATAAGGCGAGTCATTTTCATCCACTTGCCTCCATACGCATGTTAATAATGTTGTTGATATCCACCTATTCATTACGAGATTGTTGAATAGACTAATTGTAACGATTCGAGTCTCGTGCTCGGCCGTTCTCTGACCTTTTTCTGTTTTGGTGGCATATATTATCTTAACCTTCACGACATTCTGTTCCGTCCCTCAAGATTCGAACCAAATACCTCTATTTTATGATAAACTTATTTCAATTATCAAAACCGAATCTAATAACCATGACGCGAATAAATAATATTGTTCTTTCATTAAAGTCATTCCTAGATAAAATAAATATCTAAACGTAAAAGTCATACTAGAATATATCAATTATACGAGATTATTCTTGGGTACTTTTCGTTTTTTTCCTATTAAGATCGTGTTTGGATAGTTGTTGGATAAAAAAGTGTAAAGGGACATATGCCTTATCTCTCATGCCTTAATTAAATGCCTTTCGGTGGGAGAACAATGGTAAGAGGCTAAAAGGACCACTTGTGACCTTACCAATTACTATCGTCCTTGCAAATGAAACATTATATATGTTAAGATTTGAGGTCACATCTTAAAATGTTAATTTTACTAAGAGGAGTAGTCCAAACTCTTATAAATTGATATATATTTTCATCGTTATTCGATTTGAGATTTTATCCCTTAACATGCCCCTTAAGATGGTGGTTCGTTTTGAGTATACCAATCTTGAAATCCATATGCTTAAATTCTTTTTGAATTTTAATCGGATCGAATTGCTCGTGAAGCTCAACGGGCTCTGATACCATGTTAAAAATTGGAATTCTATCTTAAAAGATCAATCTCACTAAGAGGAGTAACCCAAACTCTTACAAATTGGTCGATGTTTTCATTGTTATTCGATGTGAGATTTTATCCCTTAACAATATACTAGGTAACATTGATTCTTTCTTTTTTCCATATGGTCTTCGAGAATTTAGTTGTCGAGTAAACCCATAATTTATTTATTTTCATCGTGTGTCTCTGATGTTTAATTGTCGTAGTTGGAAATAGAATTATGAACCGATTATGTGGTTCCTAAGCTCGATTGATGCATATGATGCAAAATCGAATTTGCGCCAAAACTTTAGTTTTTAACCTTATTTAAGAAAGTTTTTATAATTATTATGCTATTTAATCTACAAACTTAAACCGTTAAGAAATAAAGAGAAACTTAAATATTAAACGTCTCAATTACCTGCGCGCCACATTCATATTGCTCTTTAAGAGGCTAAACTAGGCTAGGATTGAGGATAAAATTGGCGCAAAAGTTCATGTTTAATGTGTACAATATCGAAATATCTAATTTAAAAGATTAAATTGCTCGTAAAAATCAAATGGGGATATTTTGACAAGTTGGTAGGAGGTCGTGTGAGTTACTGTTTAATCTTTGAATTTTCAGCGACATAGGATTCTTCTAAGGATGCCGCTGATTAGAATCCGTTTTTCGAAAAACGAATAATCTTTTGAAGAAGTGCTTCAGAAAAGAAACATAGTATTTGTACATAGAAATAATAAAACGAAAACAAATGGAAATTGGAAACTTTCATGTAAAAGTTGGGGGATCCGAAGAATATATTCTGGAGAGTGGAGACCCCAAGAAGAAGAAGAAGATCAAAAGGTACTTGTAGTGTATAATTGAAGTTGTCTCCTCTTAGGCCATAACATTTTTCTCTAAAAAATATGATAGGATGAATGTGGAAGTGAAACGAGCATGTTTACCTAAGTGTAACGGTGTAAGCATTGGTCAAGTATTATCAAACGTGTCCATATATATAAAATGACACGGGAGATGACTACAGGAAGGATCTCGTTAAATTTATTATTAATTATTTACTAATAATATTATTGATTTATTAAATACGGTATACTTATACTCTTACTTTCGAGAAATGCGTTGAAATACTATATTATTTTCTAAACATGGAAATTAATTCATCTGAAGCAATATAATAATTTAAAATTTAAAGAACAAAATAGTAATAGTATATGTTTCTGTTATGATATTTTTTAATTTTAGCTACAATTTGGTACAATTAAAAAAATTGGTTAAAATTTAAGTCAAAATCAACAATTAATTTTAATAATATATTTCATGAGATTCAAAATTTTTTAATTACACAATTCATCAACTTTTATCAAAATTTACTAAAATTTTGATTTTATTTAAACAAACATGGACTTAATTACAATGCAACGTTTCTAGCAAATAATGGCTTCCCAAAAAAAATAAAAAAATACAACTATTGGGCCAAATCCAACAATTTATCGTTTGTAGTTGTATTGGCCCAACCCAGTGTATGGGCTATAGTTTGAGGCCTTTCGTCTATTGTTAAAATGAAAAATTCTTGAATGAAGTCAACTCTGGAAATTTGAGAATGTACTAAAAGGAGAATTGTAGTTGGACACACACACAAAAGAACACAAATGTAAAGCACAGCCAAGATGCAAATTTTACAACAACATTCGTATTGTGCATGAGAGTCAAAAGTTAGCCATATGTTTTCCCAATCTGGTTTGACAATGATGATTTTTTTCTTGGATGGACAAAGGTTTGTGGAAGATAAATCTAACTTTTCGAGTCTGGTTCAAATATGCACTTAGGGCTTTGGAAATCGCCCCTGATTTTGCAACTGATAATTTTCGCTTGTAGATGAAGATGCCGAGTAAGATAGTTTTACCATGACTTTTCCTTTCTCCCAATTTTCGTTTGTTAACACGTTGAGAGCATATCCAATGGAATATGGATTGTACGAAAAACATGTCACGTCATCCCAAAATGCTTAAATGACAAGAAAACAGGCGAAGCATGTTTAAAATTCCAAAGTTGCTGAAATAATTTTGAAAGTAACAATAATTATTCGTAAAATTTAAAAGTTCAATAACACTCATTTTTAATTTGTTTTAGTTTAATTAATCAATTTTTATTTTTATTTCAGTTTTGCAAGAATCGTGACCTTAAATTTTATTTTATTTTCCCCCAATTTTAGACAAGCCTAAAAGATATAACTTATAATTAAAAAAAAAATTTAGTGGCGTTTAATATTTGAATGAAAATATTATAAAATTTTAAAGAACTATTTGATAACTTTCGTGATATAAATAAAAAGAATTTGTTAGTCATACAAAGCAATTGCCAAGACATCGCCGNAAAAAGAATTTGTTAGTCATACAAACTACAAAGCAATTGCCAAGACATCGCCGTCTGTGGGAATCGAACCCACGACCACGTGGTTAAAAGCCACGCGCTCTACCGGCTGAGCTAAGACGGCTTGATATTCGTTGGTGGGAATAAAATTTATAAGCCGATTTATTCTGTTTATTTTGGCTACTTTAACAATTAGTTCAGTAAGATAATTTAAATCATATATATTTATAGCTTATAGTACATGCAATTTGCAAACTTAAACATGAAAATTCTAGATTTGCTCTCTTTCCAGATTTCTCTATGAAAAGGTGCAACTGAGGAAATTTTACGCCAGGACTAATTTATTGTTGTCTCAAATTTCAACTGGTGTGATTTTTTTCTTTCCGAAATACACTCGTTCATTTTGTTAGGGCGGGGCTTGTTTGAGTCTTTTTTTTTTATGTAGAATGCATTTTGGAATAGCAAATTAATGAAGAATGTGTGATTAAACATAAACGAAAAGTTTTTGAATTGCATGTAATATTATTTTATTAAAATGTGTGGTTAAAAAGGAAAGAGAAAAAAATGTATAATCAAACAATGGATAGACAACAATCTGTCATTTTTGGTTGACAATTGTGTGTTTGACACCTATTTTAGTGTGTGTTTGTCTCCCATTATTGTAGGAGAAATAAAGTAATAAATAGTATTTTTGAAAAATGTGTTGTTGAAATTCAAAGTAAATTCATTGGTTTATGT